GACAGAGGACGAGATGGTTGGACAGTGTCATCGAAACAACCAACATGAATTTGACTCCGGGAGGCAGTGGAAGACAGGAGGGCCTGGCATGCTCTGGTCCATGGGGTCACGAGTTGGACACGACTAAAGGACTAAACAACATCAATCTGTTCTGGGGAACAATATGATTCCTTAGAAGTTCATTCAAGTAATTCAATGAGAAGATGATCAATAAACCCCAGCAATGATAGTTTGCTCAGTAATAATTCTGTACAATGTACACAGGAAATGTTGGGTATTTCTAGGGTATGCCCTCAGTTCACCTGAGCCTTGAAAGAATGGACTATGGATTGTTAAGCATATCTTGGAACAGAACCCTCCATAGTGCAGAGTCATCTTGTGACAAGCTAAGAAGGTGAGTTCCTGAAGGTTGAAAATTACTGTGTTATATTGTAGTTTTGAAATTATCAATCAAATTTACTGGAGATAGGCAGAAGAAAAGTATGTTACTCCTGCTCTTGATGGCTTTAACATGATTGATCCGTTTACTGGAAGACTCAGAAATGAAGCAGAATGAAACCACCAAACTTATAAACTTACACCTGAAAAACACGAATAACACATTTTGCAAGAAATTTCATCAGAAGCATTCCCAACATTGTCTAATCTATTTCTTCTGCTGTTGTCCTTTCTTACGTCTGAAGAATCTGAATCCCCACTTTAGTTTCAATAAAACTAACCACACATCTGTTGCCTATCGGTCTATTCAGGACCATAAATAGCAGAAAAACAAAATAAACATCTACATGGAAGAAGATATTAATACTGTATTAAAAATCCTCTACTGACCTAAATGGGAGTGGCTCTTATAGCTTCATTTCTACCAAGAAAAATGTGGCTGTTATTGGTGTATGTGGGTGGTTACAAGCATTGTGTCCAAGAGCAAGCTCAGCACTTTTAGCAATGCACATGTTCTAGCAAGAACAGAAAATGTACTTCATTGATTAAAAGAGGACATACACAAATAAAAAAGAACTGTTAAGAAGATACAAAAGAGGCAAGATCCATCTATTAAGAGTAATGCTTCCTTTTGAAGGATAGACTCTTTTTCCAACTTACATAATACAATTGTGGATTTAGAGAACTAAAAAATACAAAAGGAGAATCCATATGAGGTGATAACATTGGGCCAACTAACAAAAAGGGGTGCAAAAGCACAAAAAATTGTGTACGTTTTCAAGCAAGCTTGTCTTTAACAGGAAAAAATAAAATGTAAGTAGTGTATGGGAAAGGGAAGGGCAGGAACAGAGCTTTCTGTTTCTGCATTTACTGCAGTGTACTTTAGGTATTATTTATTACAGTCATTTACAGGAATATCAGGAAATTCTGTGTACAGAATTAGACTCTTGCTCCATCCTACCCAGGGTTTTTGACAGTAATTGGCAGTGGATTTCTCGGTCTGTATCCTAATGTTTGCGATCAAAGTTCTTACTTCCTGCATACAAGGCATGTACTGTGGCACTGAGCTCCCGCTTCTTACCTGAGTAGTTTACAAGGAGCATAATAATATAGCAATAAAATTGTAAAAAACAATATAAATAATTTAAAACTTGTCAGGATCTTTCTACAAAATAGCCAATAGTATGTGGCCCTGGACGAGGAAAGGGTGTGTTTTGCAGAAGCAGATATCTATGTTAACATTTCCTGCCTTCCTCCCACAATTCTTCCTACAGGGCTGTTTATAAAAAATGACTTTATAGGGTGGCAATGTAACAGGAATAGTGCTTATATTCTTTACCTTCCTTTTTCTTTCATGTGATTTCTTGCGGGATAGCTGGTAGTAGGATGTACTGTTGAGGCAGAAGGGATCCAACTAGATCGGGAGTAATAGGCATGATGAAGAACTAGGAGAAAAGCTACATATGCCGCTGATTGTCAAGGCAAAAAGTTTTTCCCCCCTTTTCCTTTAGCATTAGATGAGAGCAGTGACATTATAGACACTTCTCAATGTAAGGGAATGGAAGAAAACTGGGAATTCTAGTCATACTAAAATGGAGTCTGTTAGGTTCTGTGTAAGATAAATTCAAAAGAGATGTTTTTCAGGAGCTTGTTATGCAGAGTTGTTTGTCTAAGTCATAAGGATGAACAGTCCAGAGAGAGGAGACGCAACAAAACCCACTACAGTGTTGCCTTTACTTATGAACTTAATCCGTTCCGGAAGATGGGCCATAACTCGAAACCTCTGAACTCACACTCTAACCGCTGGAGCGAAAGAGCTACAAGGAAAGCAGACTCTTTGCCATTAACAGTTAGCAATTTGAATTCCCCGCCTTTTTCCCTGCCTTTTTTCTGGTTGTAACTCGAAGCTCTGTTCACAAGTAGAAGCAAAATTTTGCGGCTGGAACTGGTTGTAACTCGAAATGGTAGTAAGTCGGGACAGTTGTAAGTTGAAGCACCACTGTAACTTGGAGAAGATAAGACACCTGGAGTTTTGATCATGAGAACTTTGGGTAGTGATCGGAGTGTTCTGAATTAGGCCTACTTGGACTTAATTGTTTGACAGCTTGAAATAGTAATTAGGAAAGAGGTCCTAAAGATATGTAATATGTATGTGAAAACTTGTCTACTAATTTTTATCAGGGGGATGGATTCCAGCTTCAGAATTTTAGGAGAATTATGTACACTGCAGTTTGAAAGGCACTACCATTGCAGAAAACATATTCTCGAAGGTGTGTGAATTAGTAGAAAGTCTTGGTCTGAGCTGAGATAAATTGAAAAGCATCACTGCTGATGGTGCAAGTAATATGGTGGGCAGTACAAACTGGTGTAGTTGCAAGAATCAATGAAGAGATACTGAAATTAAACTGGTACACTTCCCATGCAGTTTCACTGAATCATCCATCAGCAAGCCTTATGTAGTAAGATTATTCAGTGGGAAATTGTGATGTGTATTGTGTATCCAGCATTAATTACATCAGGCATCATGGCCTTACTCATTGGCCGTTTCAGAATTTTCCCTCATAGATAGATGCAGAATATGGAGATATATTGTACCATTCAGAAATCAGGTGGCTTAGCATAGGCAAAGACCTCAAACGTTTTTCCAGTCTTTGTCATTAAGTTGATGTCTTTCTCAAGAAGAAAGGAAAGGGTCACCTTAATGCAGTCCCCAGGTCCCAGAGGGTTGGGGACCCTTGCTTTATGTCATTTGTCAACTCTGGAAGCTGTTGGTTGCTTTTTGTCACTGCCATCTTTCATTTGGGAAAAATGAATGCCATCATAAATATACATAGAAGATGCTTATAATATGTCAATATAATATTACATGATAACAGGGATGTAATATGGGAAAATAGCAAAATACATGATTATGTACAAAACATTTTCCTTGACAAATTATCAGCTGTCCTCTGTTCCTTTACAGATTCTATTCTATTTAAATGGAGTTTATTATATATTTTATTTCTTGGCAACCTTGCTGATGATTGTTTATAAAAGTAAGTTACAGTATTTTAAATACACAAGTGAGAGATTATTCTTCAGACTGTCATGGACCTGATCTAATTTTCTTTTCTTCTTTCATACTTTGCTTATTGGCAGGTCAAGTTTTCACTTATCCAGATAATTTCTTAACTCTTGATCTCATATTGCTGTTCATTATGGCAATTCTAGAAACTATCCGGATATACTTCGGTAAGTTGGGCAGCATTTGTGCATTTGGAGCATGTTAAATATTAAGCTTTTTGTAGAGATACATTCAAACATGCTACTTCGAGACAAGTAATCAGTGGCTTACAACACATTTAAAGGCTTATTCTGGTGAGCATCTGGGGTGTCATTCAGTCTAGTGCTGTCCTCTGAAAATGCCGGCCACAGAGACTGGCGAAACGTTAGGAAGAACAACCTTCAGAACACACCAAAGAGCCCGAAAAACCCACAACGACCAAATCTACACCTTTTTCTTGTGCCTGGGCCTTGTTGCGAGTACGAGATTTAGGCTAAAGGTCCATCTTCACTCCAGTCAGAAGTCAAAACTGAGTGAAGCACTCTAGCAGATGGTGTGATCGCTGGAGTTGTTGAAGCACAAGGAAAGCATAGTTGTTTCTCCCTCTCATAATTTAAATTGTTTGCGGTAGTATTTAGCGTCATAATTATTGTGTGTTCTTCAGTCCAGTGAATCAGACAGGAATCAAAAATAGGATTGTACTACATATTATATTGTCTCTTTCCACATGATAGAAGCAGTAGAAATAAATTTGTGAGCTGCATCAATATGTTTCATAGGGGATGGGTCTGAAAACTAAATATAAAGGGTCAAGTGACTGGAGCCTTGGGGGATCAGAATGTTCTAAACCTGTTATTTCATCCTTTCTTAATCATATGCAAGAACATGTCATATATTAGTGAATTCAGGGGTGAATCCAGCAAAGGTACAGCCAGTAGAGGCAGAGGCAGTTTTCACTCAGTTCCCCTTCCTGTAAACCTTTGCTCCAAATGATTGGGAGTCCCCTGGAACAATGTTAAACGCAGCTCTTTTGAAGCTATAGAGGGATGGGAGAGTAATGAAAATTTTTCGCCTCCTTTTTATTGACAAGAGTGTTCTAAGCAGAAGAGGCAAAAACCAAAGAAACAAAACAAAAACATGGGCAACTTAGAGACTATTGTATTTTAATATGAGCTTTCGTGAACATGTCCACTTCATCAGACATACTGAAACAATGAAATATTGAATGAAAGAGCAGTTTCATACTAAATGCATTTACTGTATGTGCAGTAAATTCTAAGCAGAAGTCCACTATGGGACAGTCTTGCCTGCATAAATAAAGTCTCTGGATCCAATCAATTTTTATGCCCTTTTTTATTTGGAAACTGTTCAAATAACCTTAATTTTGGATAGTACTTTAACTGCTTCTCCTATGTAGTCTTAACTATTGTTCTATTTTGGATTTGGGTCCATCAGTTATTCTTATGCCATATGTCTTTTTTGTTTTTAATTTTACCAGGTACCAAAGGGAATTTAACAGAAGATGAGGCTCCACTTGGTTTCAGCCTTGTCATCACAGGAGGAAGTATAGTTCTGTCCATCTACTTTCTAGTGTGGCAAACTTATGTCCTGAGAGCAGATGTCATTATTAATGTTGTGCTGATTATTATATATGGACTTGAAGGAATTTTTCAAATTATAGCCATTGCTGCATTTGTCAGCTAAATCATGTTGCTGCCTGTGGCACATCTGTCTTTTATATCCCACCCCCCAAAAAACAGAACACATCTTTTAAATGATGTCCTTGTAAATATATGTGGTGTTAATCTTCTCAGATTTTAAACACTTGGTTAAATTACAAAGTTTAATCAAGCCTTCTTGATTAGCATGTAACAGGCTATATAAAGTTACTTATTCTTACCATATCTTTTGTGTTAGAATTTGGCTAAAATGTTCATCCCCAATTTTAGGCCAATCCACATTTTATGTGGCAGACATGTTTTATGCTTGTCAGTACCATTGTGGTGCAGGGAAAAATATGTTCCTGCAAATAAACACAGAGGTACAATAGAGATCTTTTAGGGGCCCATGATTCTAATATAAAGAATTACACTGGCGAGCCTTGTATTCACACACCACCGCCTTCTGTCCTCCATGTTCCAGTTCTCTCCTCTCTTTGGGGAAGACTATACAGTGGGGTCTTGACTTGAGAACTTAATCCGTATTGGAAGGCGGTGCTCAAGTCAAAAAGTCTGTAAGTCAAGTCTCCATTGACCTACAGTGCATTGAAAACCGATTAATCCCGTAACAGACCGTTTTTGTTCCATTTTGGTTTTTTTCTGGTCTGTAAGTCAAATCTCAGTCTGCAAGTCAAACCTAAATTTTGCGGCCAGAGAAGTCTGTAACTCAAAAAGTCTGTAAGTCAAGCCGTCTGTAAGTCAAGGGTCCACTGTAGTTTGTTGTTATTTCTTTACTAGGCAGATCATGGCTTATTATACATATTATAGCCTCATGACCAGAATAGGAAACTACAGTATGATAGTATTTTCTAGTTCTGGTTTAAAGAACTGTTGTTTCTTCACAAGTACAGAAACTATGGTTTGCTGTAAAGAGGAATTCAGAAAACATTCAAGGTGTAAGGGAAGAGGCTTTGGCATTACAAAGTCAGCCATAGGTTTTCAGTACGAGTTGTTTCATTCCAAGGGAAAAAATGTTGGAATAGAGTATTATTGTCATGTGCTTAATTTCCAGTGGATATCAAAATGATAACTTTATATCTGTATGTATTATTGGGTACTCTTCAGTAGTTCAGATTATTTTGAATGCCGTATACCAGAAGAGATATTGTTCTAATCTTGTTCTTATGGCTTCACCCCATATAACTTTTTGGGAAGGTGAGCTGTGACTGCTCTTCTGGAAACTCTAGTATTTACCATTTTTTTACTTCCATTTTTTAAAAATACATCACATTTACATATAATAGCAATGAGGTTTCCTTCCACTTAGATGTTTGTGTGTGAAGTAAATATTTATTGTATTTCATTCCACAAGGTGATATGTTATGCCTTCTTTTATTTATCTTTTTAACTAATCTGTATTATTCATTCTATTTTTCTGTATTTTATAGAATAAATGTGTAGGTAAGGTAAACATACTGTTGTAGAGCTGTAATTATTTGTAAATTGTGTTGTGTCCCTCTACTGGGAAAAAGGCAGCAAAGTAGAATAAAGAAACAAATAATGGCTGGAGTCCTATTACTATTTGCTTAAGATTTGCATAACTTGTTGCAGCTAATTGATGAGTTTCAGGAGCATATCTTGGTTATGCAGTTAGTTGTGTGACCAAACTTACAATCAAGGCACACTCCAGAACTTCATCAATTAGCTGCCATTAGCCACAGTAAGTTACACAAACCTTACACAAGCACTAACAGGATTTCAGCAAATGTGTGCACGTGACTATCCCTGTTGTTTACCTAAACATTCTGTGTTTATATTGTCAATCAGAAGTATATACATAGACCACACCAGCTTGTGCTCTTTTTGATTTGTGCTACATACTAGTCAGATTCTTTGTGCAGAGGCACCATGTGTAAATGTAGCTCTACACACAGGAGGTGCTTCTACCAGTTTAGGAGAAGGCACTCTTTCTCTTGCATAATCAGGCCCATTCAGAAGGGACTGCTGGGCATCTGTGTCTGGAGGTGCAGAACTGAGAATATTGGGCAGGAAAAGCTCAGGCATGCTGCTTGGTGTTACCTGAATATGTAGTCACACAACATAAGAGACAATTCTGTAATTTTTAGATACTATGAAATCAAATACGAGGTTGCATGCTATATTTAAGCTTTGATATTGTGGCATTTCTTCAGAATTCTTACAAATCTGGTTGCAGATTGCAAATAGGAAAATTGTCATTTCTGGGGGATTGTCCCCCCAAAACATTCCAAGAAGTATTGAGACTAGAGATACTAAACCTTCTGGGATTAGGACTTCATTATTATTTAGCACAGTGGTTCTTAACCTTTGTTACTCGGATGCTTTTGAACTGCAACTCCCAGAAACCCCAGTCAGGACAGCTGGTGGTGAAGGCTTCTGGGAGTTGCAGTCCAAAACTCCTGAGTAACCCAAGGTTAAGAACCAGTGGTGTAGTGCAGTGGTTCTTAACCTTTGTTACTCGGATGCTTTTGAACTGCAACTCCCAGAAACCCCAGTCAGGACAGCTGGTGGTGAAGGCTTCTGGGAGTTGCAGTCCAAAATTCCTGAGTAACCCAAGGTTAAGAACCAGTGATTTAGCACACAAAATACATAACTCAAAAGAGAGTAGTTTTGAATTGCCTCTAATATCCCAGCACAGCAGAACAAGAATGTCTGGTTTATCAAAATGATCACTATATTTGACTCAAAAGCTTGAAAAATGTGTTCAACACATGATATTTTTATGAGTTGAGAATTTGAGAGACAGTAATTGGTGGAAAGTATGAAGTGGATGAATGTTCTTCCTAACTTAATTATATCATCACTGATAGTGATTAATAGCTGCTGTGTACATGAATGAGACACATCCGTCTGCATATATGCAATGATGCAGTAGTAGTACTACTACCCCCGAGTAGACATTGTCTAGGGAGGCGGGGTAAAAATTGAATAAATAAATAAATAAAATAAATAAATAAATGATCCTCTTCATACCCCTGTTGCAGATACTCAGTGTATTTCACATTAAAGGTATTTATACAGTAACACTTATCTCAAAGCTGCTCAGAAATGATTATTCTGCTTGTTTACTTGGATGTATTTCCCCTTAAAAGCAGTGCAGTCTACTTCATTAAATGTGCAAAGGATTGCAGTCTTAGCCCATACAAGATCCTTTGATCACTCAGAACAAAATATATTTCCTGCTTTGCCTTTTATTTATTACTGATGAATTAATTTTGGCAGTAATTCATTATTAACATTTATAAGCTGAAATCACCTATAAATGTTATGCCAAAAGGCAAACAGCTTAACTTTCAGTCACTTTTAGCTAGCAATTAACAAGTCATTACTTGGGCACCTGCTGGCTTGGTGTACACTTATGAATCCCAGCAGGAACTCATTGATTGCCAGCTAGAAGGCACTGAAAATTATACCATTTCCCTTCCATATTTGTAACAAAGCAACAAAATTTAAAACTTACACTCCTCGGTTATGTTTGCAGTCTGTGTTTTTTATCTCACTGTATATATAATATACTGTATAATCTACAATGTATTGGTATTCAGCCTGATGAAGATTGTTAAGGTAGGGGAATTGGTCACAAGGAAATGTTTGGTGCCTGATGGTCTCCTTCCAATAGTGCAAAGGGAGCTGAGTTAACTTCACTAATCCCCTGCCAGGTCCAATCTTTGCCTGAATTTCATTCCCTGGGCTTACACAGTCCATAGTCTATGGCTGGGGTCTAGTTCTTAGCACTGACCCCAGCCTGCTAATGCCCTTTTGAGAGAGCTTGTGTTGCTACAATCAACATGCTGTCCTTTCCCAAGGCACAAAACATGGGTCCAGCAGCTCTGCTGCCTCCCTCCACTCCCTGGCCTCAGACTCTGCAGAGGGCAATGAATATTCCCCCTCTTCCTCCCTTAAATCAGGCTGCCACCAATAGGCCTAGCTCTGTCCCCCTGCCCGTCTGCCCCAGGCTGCTTTCTCCCACCTGGACCCTCCATTTCCTTTTCTGTATCCTACTAGACCCAGCTGCCAGGGTCACTGTCATACCCATTAGGGACATGTGGTGAGGGCAGGCAACCAGAGCATGCCCTCCACAGAGCCCCCCCCCAGCCAAGTGGGCTGGCATTTCCTCATCTTCTGCTCCAAGGATTCTACTGAGAGACATAACCCATATTAACATGGGCTTTCCCCTTCCTGGACTGCACCGTGAAGGTGAAGGACTGCAGGACTAAGTACCAGCAGGTTAGGCAAGTGTTGGTGTTCTTCATTTGTACTAAATATGTATGATTGGTAACCAGTGTGGAGGGGACCTCAAGGAGGTAATATTGGAGGGCATGGATGGCCTAGTGGACAGCAAGGGCTTCTCATTCTGTGGTTGCATACCTTTGCCCTCAGGGAGGGAGCTTCTGAATTGGATGCAGAATTAGGTACTCCACCCCATTCCACTCTTGGGTGAATATGACCCCTAGCCCTGTTTCAGAAGCATCAGTCTGGAATATGAAGGGCTAGGAAAAGTCTCAGGGCTCAAGGCTTTTTCCACCCAGGATCTCAAATGGCTTATTTCCAGGTTAAATAATTTGGGGTGAGGTGCTATGGAGGCAAAATGAATAAACTGACAATAATAGTTTACCAACCTGAGAAACTGCTGCACTTCTATCTAGGTTTGGATTTGAGGCCATCAGGACACCTTGTCTACCTTATCCCAAAAGCTTTTACTTTCCTGCTACCCACTAAGAATCCTAAATACTTGGCTTGATCCTAGGCAACTTTACACTTAGCAGGATTGGCCATGAGCCCCACTCTTCAGAGTTCTTCCAGGTGGTCCATCTGGACCTACTATGAAAGTCTGAAAATAATTATGCTGTCTATATACGTGGCTGCAACATCACAGAGTGGCTCCAAGACAAGGTCCTGAAGCCTTTGGAAGCTGGCCACAACCTGATGAAGCCCAAAAGGCACGTGTCTTAAGTAAAACAGGTCCTGGACGGTATTCTTTCTCCTTAGTGGAATCTGCCAGTATCCCATTGTTGGACTGAGGGAGGTCAGATACCTAGATTCCCCTAGTTGCTGTAATAGCTCATCCAGTCAGGCCATAGGATAAATATGAATCTTAATCTTCCATTAAGGCGATGGAAATCAATACAAAACTGGACATTGCCCTCTGGCTTGGGCACTGACACTGGCTGGCTTTTCCAAGTTGCTAGCTGGTTCTCTCAGGGGTACTGGCGAACACATCCTGAAACCCTGGCTTGTGGAAGATGCCCTAAATAGCTGCTGAGAACACTATCTGCAAGAAAACACGAACACTTAACATCAGCTTGGCTGAAAATAAATATTCTAACTATTTGGTAACACTGTTATGTTAGCTGCAGTTGGCTTCACCTAGTGGACAGACTAAACTTTATTCCTAATTCTCTCATAAGAAGTTTGCCACAGTTCTGCGTAACCTCAATTCTCTGCCAAGAAGGAACCTTGCGTTTCAAAATAGGGGAGGGGGGAATGCTGAATACCTGGGAACCCTTTGTTTGGTGAGTTTGGAGAGATCATCCAAC